GGTCACCCATACCTGTAATCTCAGCACTTAGCAGAATGGATGTAAATTCAATGCCAGCTTAAGCTACATTGTGAGTTCCAGGCTAGCCTGGGCTACTGAGTGAGTTTCTGCTTTAGAAACACCACCCCCAAAACTTGTTTTCTCATTCTCAGCCAAGCTGTGTCCTCCCAGATGATGGATGTTTAAATCCTAGCCCCTAGTACTGGTAAACGGGTCCTTATTCAGAAACGGGGTCTTTAATAGTTGATGAGGTTTCACTGGATTGGGGGACATTTCAAAAGAGAAGGAGTCAGGGGTACAGACAGTGCCCACAGGGAGACGGAAGGGAGCTGAGACTGGAGGGGTGTACCTGCGGCCGAGGAGTGTCCAGCTCGAGAGTGGCCACAGAAGCCAGTGGAGGCGAGAAGGCTCCTCCCCTACACCAAAAGCCGGCTCAGCCCTCCTTCCGTCTCCACTCCGCGCTTGGGGCCGACACAGCCCTGATAGAGTAACTGTTGTTTTACCTAAAGCTGTGGCCTGGCCTGCCTGGAGGGGCACATTTGATACAAGGGAAATGACACACTAGTTGCTCAGCCCTCTCCAGGCTTGTGGTGTGATAACACTCTAGAATGGCTGCAGTCCTGTCACACGCGGCATGGCTGCGTAGCCCTCCCGCTGACGTGTGGGAGGAAAGTGCTATTTTAACTAGGCTTGGGTGGACTTGTGCTGATTCCTTGCTTTTTCTTTCTTTGTGGTACTGAAAGTTAAAGTTAGAGCCTTGCCCTTGCTAGCCATGTCATTTTCTGCCTCAGCACCCAAGCACCTTGGATTCCAGGCCCCTCCACAGCCAGGGGTGACGTGTGGTGACTCCTCCCCAGAGTTACCCACCTAGGCAGACTTTGGAATCACCAGAGTGTCCCTTGGAGGCTGCCCTGGCTCTGAGGTCACGTTTGTCTTCCTACTGAGTCGTGTTAAGTCTCAGCCTGGAGGCTGGCTTTTACGACTCTACTTTCGCCCAGGGTCACCAGCAGTTTTTAAACCAAGAAATGTCCGTGCCTGTGGTTCCCATTCCTACAGTTTGCCACTGCAGAAATGGTTGTCTGTCGGCTTCTGTTGTTTTCCAACTCTAGATGGCTGCGCCATCTTTTGTTCTCTATAGGAGACTCTCAAGACATTGCAGGCATATCGTAAACAATAATGTTGCCCTCTTTGTCTCCATAGGGACGCTCATCTTGAACGCTTGATGTTAATGGAACCATTGACTACGTGGTCCTTTGTGACTGCCTTCTTTCCCTGAGCATAATCCTTCAGGGTGCATCTGAGCTGTGGCGCACATTGGTGCTTTGCTCTTTCTACTCCGAGATAGTTCTGATGTATAGCCATAATCCATCCATCAGCCAATAGCCGCTTGGGTTGCCTCCATCTTTAAACACTACAACTGTAAACACTCACGCACAAGTTTTCATATAGACAAATGTTTTTATTTCCTTTGTGTGTATTCCTAGGACTGCAGTTTCTGAGTTGGGTGGCAATTCTGCCTTCTGGGTCTAACTGCTTTTCTAAGCAGCTGAGCCACTTTTTCAGTCATCAGCAGTATACGAGAGCTCTAATTTCTTTGCGGCACTTGTTATCTTTTGGGGGGGGGGAGCTTTGTGGTACTGAGGCCTTGAGTGTGTTAGGCCAGCGATGTCTCATGATAACTATCTTCGGTGTGTGAAGCGGAACACCACTGTGGTCTTGATTTTAGTAGTGGTGGAGAAGGTACTTTGTACAGTTTACACAGAGTTGTCTTTTCACAGTTCTAAGATACAGCCTAGACTCAAGTTCCTTAGCAGATGACTGTTCTCTCCTGGCTTGTGGTTTTGATTTCTTGATGTGTCTTCGAAGAAGAAAAGTTTTCAGTTTTGATGAAGTCCAGTTAGATAAACTTTGTCTTGTTGTAGCTCCTGTGTTGAATCTCTCCTCTCCCCCACTCTTTCTCTCCCTCTCTCTTTCTCTCCCCCTCTTTCTCTCCTTCTTTCTCTCTCCTTCTCTCTCCCCCTTCTCCCTCCCCTACTCTGAAGTTCTCTTTATGTAGCACTAGCTGGCCTAGAGCTCAGAGTAATCCACCTGCCTCTGTCTCCTGAGTTTTAGGATTAAAGGCATCTGCCACCACACTCGGATCATGCAAAATCTTAAGAAAACTTTTCCAAATCTGGGGTCATGCTTGATGCCTACACTTCTTCCTGAGGGATTTTTAAAAAATTCATTCAAAGTTAATTTTTCCTATAATGTAGAGAAAGGTCGAATTCTTGAGGGGTTGAAAGATTCCTTTCCTCACGAAAGGGTCTTAGCTGCAAAACAGTTGCATGTAGTTAAATGGGTTTATTTCCGGGCTCTGAGGTCTCCCTCATTCGTCCGCAAAGTAGAACTGTGCTGTCTCGATTTACTTGTTTATTATTTCTTGGTTGTAAAGTTTGACGTTGCGTCATGTCAAGTCTCTACTTTCTTTTGATTGTTATTTTCATTCCTCTGATCTTTTATAATTCCATGAATTTTAGAATCAGCTTGTTAATTACAATAAAAAAAATTAGCCAAGATTCTAACAGGGAGTGTGTTGATTTTGTTGAACAATTTTAGTGTAGTGCCACCTTAATGATTTAAAAAAAAACTATAAATATTGTATTTTCACCATTCATTTATATCTTTCAACAGTGCTATGTAATTTCCAGAATATAAATTGAGATTTCTTCTGTTCAATTTGCTTTTAAGTGTTAAGTGCTTTTAAGTGTCACTTCTTTTAGTCTTACTGTATGGAATAGTTTTCTTGATTTCATTTTCAAGTTGTTCGATGTAAGTATATAGAAATACAACTGAGATTTTTACGCACATTGATTTTGCAACCTGCAATCCTGCTGATAATTACTGGTTCCAGTAATTCAAAAACTGGGTTCTTTGGGATTTTGTATGGACGGGGGTAATTTTACTTCCTTTCCAGTCTGGAAGATTGTCCTAAACAAATCGCCAGGGCAGGCAGAACCCTGCAGCACAGAGCTGATGCTGACCACAGGAGATAGCATCCAATCTTTTCCCATAAACCATGATGTCACCTCGGGCTTTTAAAGATCCTTTGTGGAGAACGTTCCCTTCTGGTCTGGCTTATTGACTGATATTTACCGTGAAAAGTTTTGAGGTTTTGGCATGTTTTTCTGTGTCTATTGAAATGATCATGCAGTCTTTGGGCTTTTGTATTCTATCGGTATGGTATATTGATTTATTTTGGGATGTTAAATTACCTCTCAGTTCCTCCTCGGTTGGTGTAACTCTTCCCGAATAGCGTCAGGTTCAGTCTTGTTAGTAATGGGGGAAGGATTTCTGTATCCATGAGACAGGCCATGATGACCTGTAATTCTCTTTTCCTGTGGTGTCTGTCTGGATTTGGTATGAAAATGATACTAGATCCATTGAATGATCCATTGAATGATTTTCTCCTCTTTAAGTTTTTTGGGAGAATTTGTTTACCTATGAATCATTTGCATTTTCTTTGGTTTTATTTATGGCTATTTTTAAGATTGCTAATCAATCTCTTGTTCCAGGTGTATACTATACAAATTACCATTTCTTCAGTCAGCCCCAGTAATTTTCCCATTTCATTCAAATTACCTAATTATTTACAGTCATTTATCGCATACTTCAATTTTTCTTATTCCTCTAAGGCTGCGATAATCTCTCTCTTTATTTCTGAATCTAGTGATCAGAGTTGCCTATATTTTTTGTCAGGCCATCTAAAGAGTTCTTAATTTTGTTAGTGCTTTCAAAGAACCAGCTTTTGCTATTATTGTTTTTTCCTAGTGTTTTTCTATTAGATTAATTTCTGCTTGAATTCTCATCCATTTGCTTGAAATTTATTTTGCTCTGTTTTTTAATGTCTTAAGGCGAATGGCAGTTAATATGAAATTGTTCATCCTTTACAATATAAGGTTTTGTTTTGTTTTTTTTGTTTTGTTTTGTTTTGTTTTGTTTTGTTTTTTGGTGTATGGGTTATTTGCCTGCATGTATGTCTGCACACCAAATGCATGCCTAGTGCCTGTAGAAACCAGAAGAGGATATCAGATCCCTTGGAACTGGAGCTACAGACAGTTGTGAGCCAACATATAGGTGCTGAGAATTGAACCCAGGTCCTCTAAAAGAGCAGCAAGTTTTCATAATTGCTGGGACATCTCTCTAGCCCTAAAATAGGAGTTTTTGCACCTGCAAAATTTACCTCTAAGTCTCCAGACAGTCTTCATGGAAGTCCCTAGCAGTGGGACCTGCTGTCTACCCTAATATTATTAAATCTCAGTTTTTCAGTACCGTTTTGGAAGAGGAATCTAGACATGGTAAAGCTGTCTTGGTCTAGTGGCTGCAAATGTGTTTCTTCATTGCTAATCATGGGACACTGGTTGTTGTTACTGAATGTGTTTCTTTTGGGATATATCAGGATCTATTTTGCTGGTGTTTAATACATGATTATTGATGAAGCTAGAAAGATGTGGTTTTGGTTAGGGTTGGTTGAAGCTAGAAAAGTTTCCTTTTTATCTTTATCTCCATGATATATCTGAACTTTACACACACAGACACACACACATACACACCATTTGACTACATGTACAGCTCACAAGCAGAACTCTTTATACATTTATGTATCTATATCTGTCTGCCTATCTATCTATCTATCTATCTATCTATCTATCTATCTATCTTTCTTTCTTTCTATCTATGTATCTATCTATCTATCTTGGCTTATTTCCAAGTGATTAAGGGCCAACATAACCACCTTTCCTTTTAAACATGGAAGAACCTGCTTCTTGGTTCCTCCCTGGTGAGGTAAGATCTTCATCTGTTGCCAGTGCTGTTTGGAACAATTCTGTGTGCTCACATCTCCTCTTTGCCCATGCTCACCAGGAATAGTGACCATGTCAGAGCAGGGTTTGTCGAGACTGAGGCCCGGGTAGCTCCCTGGACTTCTCTCATGTCTTTTCCCCGTACCCCTTACTTTTTAGCCAGGGCAGCCACTGCTGAAGAGTGCCTGGTAAACCCTGTGGGCATGAACCGCTACAGCACGGACGCCTCCTCCGCTGCCCTTAGCCACAGGGGCTCCCTGACCCACTCCTCCTCACTGTACTTCAAGAGGCTGAGCTCTGGAGACGGCCACCTTGGGGGAGGCCCGACCAGTACCACCAGCGGGTCCCGTGCCAACCTTGTGCCCTCTGGAGGTTCATCGACGCCTGGACTGAGGCTCCCAGCTTCAAGCCCCAAGAGGAATGGGACATCTACGGAAGGAAACAGACGCGGTAATGTAATGCACACCCTCGCTTCCCGGTGGCATAATGACCTCCGCCCCTGCCCTGCAAACCCAGCATGGGGAAGAGATTATCTCGATTTGAACATGACACCTCTGGGAAACCAGAACATTCCACAAGCCCCTTGAATTATTCTTTTTTTTTTAAATTATAAATGAAGAAAATGACACATTAGGTTAGGAATAATCAGTAGACTCCAAAATGTCCGCTGGCTCACAGGCCGTGAACAGTGTACTTCAAGAGTTCGAGGTATTCGGTCTGAATGCAGGGACCTGCGCTCCCTTAATTTTGTGTCTCTGCCATGCCTGTCTGTTTTCACACCTCTACGTGTGGATGGATGTGGGGATGGCACATGTGAGGCCCCGGAAGGGGGGTGGGCATGGGACCCACTCACAGTCTATTGACAAGATTGGACCGTTAGATCCCAGAGCCCACAGAGCCCAGCTCTGTGTCAGAAGAACACAGCAACAGACTTGGGCAAAAGATGGTCCTTTGCATAGTGGGTGACTGACTCATCTCTGGTGAGAGTTCACTGGAGGAAAGATGAAAAGTGCCTCAACATTGGCTGTTAGGCCCTCCCATCCCCCTCACAAGAGAAACATAACACATGGACGTGCTCAGGGGGCCATGGGATTGTAGGAACAACTCAGAGGCCATTCTGGTAGATGCTTTATGATGGCTGTGTCCAATATCCTGCTATTGATCACCTGTGAGCCAGCGTAGCAATGAATTGAGGACAACACATGTCGGATGACATCATATTGCAATGTCAAAGGACAGCCCCTGTTTCACAAAGTCATTTCAAGCTTTTCGCTAAAGGATTAGGAGCCGTAGAGCAGAATGGATAATTTTGTGGACGAAGTGGCCTGGAGTTCCGGGTTAGCTGTTCTTCAACTGCCTGGCCCTTTTCAAGTCCTAGTTTCCCTGTGCTGCTGTTTCCTGACCTGAGAAATTGAAATGGAAGTACCAGCAACCCCTTTCCTCATAGAATCACGGGGGAGGTTAAGCAAGTTTGTAGGTACATTTGGTAGAAGACCTATGACGTAGTGAGTCGTGGGTCAATGCTGATGTCACAGATGCCGTGACCGCATCCCTCAGCAGACTCACAGCCTAACTCTACATCCGGAACTGCTGAAGGGGAGCCCTGGCCAGAATCTCTCACCACCCGCTGGGCTGTCATGTGTGGATGACATGTGTGGATCCCTCCTCCATGTGTGGATCCCTCCTCCAGCAGCTGCCGTGAATCACACATGTGGGCCGTACAGTTCAAGACCCCCACACACTCCCCTCAGACAGCCTCACCCATCCCAGAGGAGTGCACCCCAGATGGTCCTGTGCTGGCCAAGGGTGAAGAGGTCAGCAGGGACCCCTCGAGGGAGAAGTGGCTCTGAAAGGCAGGAAAAAAAAACTGAAATTATTCATTCTTTATAGCTGCAGGAACTCTTCAGTGTGAGTATTCCATTTGCAGTGCCTCTGCGGGGCTCTAAAAGGAAAAAAAATGCAAATTCATGAGCAAGCTACTCAGCCACGCAGCACCTCGGGAAGGAGAGGAGAGCACAGGTGGAGGAAGAGACGGAGGGACGTGCCTCGTGTCTCTGAAAGAACCTTCCATTTCTGCCACATCTGATTCTCTAGAATTGGTCACACGGGGAATAGCTACTCGGGCAACTGGGAAATGTGGCTCCAGTTCCAGTTGGAAGCCAGGGACCTGCTATAAGGAAATGAGGGAAGAGATGTTCTGCAGGCAACTGATAGCCAGAGCATCCTTCCTTGTTAAGAATGTCTGTATTCTCCACTTTTCTTCCTCTGGCACTTTTTCCCTGTCTAAGTATTGCTCTGTCCTGCCATAGCAGGGGAGCCATGACCTCAGTTTGGTGAGAGTCTCGTTTATATTTGAATCCCCGACAGTCCAAGCAAAAGAGGGCTTATGCTAAACTGTTGCTTAGCATAAGCAAGCACCAGCTATGGACCACTTTCTACTGTGACTTATGATTTATCATAAGTTATAATGTACTGCTTATATGACTCGATACCATATATATTTCTAGATGACAGTGGATCAGGAGGCCTGTCAGTTGTTGAACCAAAGTGACTTGGCTGACTCCCAAGTTCGGTCTGTGTAAACCACTCCAGGATCTCTGGACTGTGCTTCTTGGGGTCCATTCTGATGTGGAAGGGGATGGAGAAGAGGGTGAGAGTGGATGGGAATCCAGCCCCTTTGTGACTCTTTATGCAGAGCCTCTTCACATTTGCTGTGCTTGAACAAATCTGCCTAGCCACGTAGTGGTTCGGCATGCTGAGCTGAGTGGTGTAACATAAGCAAGAGAGAAGTCCTTAGCTTTCTTACCTGTTTTCACCTGCCTGCCATCCTGCACCCCAGCTGTGGGTCCTTCTAGCTTTTCTTCCCTCTGTTAAAACCTTCTCTTTCCCCAGGACTCCCTCGTGCTCCTCTGAAATTACATCCCAGGTGAAAACCACTGGCATCAAGAGACTCTTTCTCTTTCAGTGTGTTTGACCCAAATCATAAATCCTGGAAGAAACCTAGAAAAGGATTATGATGTAAAACCTCAGAGTCTGGAAAGCTGTACCAGGCTGCAGGCAGGAGGGGAGGCAGTGGTGATGTCACCAGTTCTTGGCCTTCTCTCCCTCCTGTGTGAACCCTTACCCCAACCCCTTGCTGCCCTCATGGTAGGAGCTGATAGGCTGCCAGTTCTCTGAGATGCAGCCGAGGGTGTGTTTTCCCTGGGGCTTGCTGATGTTCAGGTGAATACTTGGGAGCATTAGCCAGAGCTTTGAAGGGCTGTAAAGAGGTTACAAAGGCCTCCTGAAAGCGCTATAGAATTCCCAAGCACAGGCAGCTCCGAGATGTAGAATCAGAAGCAAAGCAAATCTGCTACAGCTCACAAGTTTCCCTATGGGCTGGGGTTGGCTTCCATGGGCTGCAGTGTCGGTAAGGGATAGGGACGATTCTGCTAGAGGAAGAATGAGGATGAGGTCCTCCTTGTGACGGCTGGACTCTGCAGCCGAAAGGGGAGAAGAGAGAGGGCTGGGATGATGTGGGAGATCGCACTGAATGGTTCTGGGGTCCACGTTGGGCAGGTGGAGCTTTGCTTATAATGCTTGTAAACCACATATTTCTGTGCAGGGGAGTGAGCTGGTGGAAGTGGGATTTAGGGAGCTGAAACGACTGGACATTTATGGAATGACATAGAAGATGAATCCTGACTGGCTTTTGTGCCAGTTCTGACCTTTACAACCTTACCCTGTTTGATCCTTGCTGCTCAAGATGGCAGGTGTTTCAGCTAGTAGAGAACTAAGAAATCGGGGTGCTGAGCACCCCAGCAGGGGCTCTTCTCTGGTCTGAAGGTGGTACTATGAACAAGGCAGAGGGATCCCATTCCAGAGAGACAGACCTGAGCACGTTGCTGTGGTTGCTGTGGGAGGGAGGTGGGAAAGTGTGTCCTGTGTGACAGCATCGCATGGGGAGGGGTTGTGGGACCTCCTCACCTTGGGAGTCAGGAGTGGCTGCAGTCAGGAGCATACTGAGCTGAGAAGTGACATTTGAGCTCTTTGAAGGAGAGGTGTCTGGAGGCTCCTGGCAGGGATCACATTGCTTCCTGGGAAGGGGGTGAGGGGTAACAGTGTCAGTTTCTGGCTGAGAAGGAATGCAGCCCAGCCTGGCCTGCTGGTCTCCAGGGACATCTTCTGTTCTGTTGGCAGGTCAGCTTGTCTTGAAGGATAAAAAATAAAAATAAAAATAACGAAACCTCTGATTAAAATCTAAGGAAGGATCGGGGTTCCTTCTCTCTGGTATCTGTCACCTTGTAGTACCTTAAAAACTGGAATTGAAGGAGTGGGAAACAACAAAACAACAATCCCCATAGATTGTGGGCTAGCCTGGGCACCTCACATTCTACATAGTGTTGGACACACACCCAAGGCCTTCAGAGGTATCACTGTCAGCAGCCTGCGGTGCACTGGGCCAGGCAGGGCCTGAGGTTGGAGGGGACACAGAGACCCACAGACCGCTCCTGGGCTCGGGAGGAGTGTGGAGCTGAACGCAGCTGTGGGAGGTAGGGATTTCTGACTCCTGGCTCATCCACTCTCCCACACTGTTAGCTAAAGTTTCTCTTGAATTATGAATGAGCAAAAGGCAATTATGTGTGTGCTCACGGGAGTGCATAAGACAGAAAGAGATCTGCAGATGTGGTACAAGTGCCTGTCCTTCAGAAGGGGCCGACGGGATTGCTTTTCAGCACAGAGTCTGTCAGTGGTCTAACCATGAATTTGGCTTCAGGAACAAGATTTAATTATGTACCCTTTCACCACTGGCTCTCACTTTTCACGTCTCAACAGCCCCTGGCCATCGAGGTGAGCAAGCTTTCCCAATGCCAGAGAATGCTGTGGGTGGCCAGTGCTTTGCATGCTCTGTCCACACGGGAGCAAGATTTATTCAGTTCAGCCAATGTCGTTGACCTATCACATCTGCCTGTGGCCCCTTCCTGCATTGGACTGGGCCCATCTGTCTTCCTGACACCTTCCCGGCTGCTGGAGCAGAGGGAGTTGGATGAGGAGCAACCGCTGAGGTCTGATTTAGCCTACCTGCTGTCCTGTCTTGTATGACTGAAAGATTCCTCAGAAGCACTCCTGAGCCACCCTGCCTGCTCTTCCACCATCCTAAAAGAGGAAAAACGTTCACAGCTGGCGCCACATCCCAAGCACAGAGGACATTGCCTCAGTGTCTCAAGGGTCTGCGGCCATCACTGAGAGCACTCTCCTCAAATGGGAGCCCTGTGCTCTGCTGCAGACAGCGACTGCTGTTGCTAACTTTGCTCAAAGGACCATAGGCAGGATCTTATCAGTGGGCCGGACTTCCCCTCCTTCCTGCCAAGTATAGGAAATTAGGTTTGACCTCTGCTCTCATCACTCCGGAATCATTCTTGGACTAAAGGCTTCCCGCCTTTGTAGTCAGGACATCTATTACCACCCTGATTAACAGCCATGCTCCCGTGGGCGGGCCCTGAAGACAGATGGGATTTCTGTGATTCTTCAGCCCCATGTTGAGTGCAGATGTCTTCAAACGGAGTAAAAATCATCTCTCCCTAGCGGGCATCAGTGTTCCAAAGGCTCTGGGGAGCATTAACAGTTTCTCAGAGAGATGCCTGCTCCCAAACCACCTCAAGGAACTCTTCCAGGTCCAGCAAGGAAAAGTCAGGAAAACAAACAAACCAACTTTAGAGTAAATCCAGTTCTCACCCAGGACAGATGCAGAAGTGAATCTCGCTTCTCTCAGTGCATAAGCACCGGGTGCTCCTTGGCATGGTAGAAAACTGTTTTGTCTTAAGACTTAGAGAAGGTGGACAGGCCAAGGCTTCTCTGCTCCTAGAATCACCCTGCTTTTTGTTCAGAATCTTGGCCTTTTTCTGGCCTTGAAGTGGTGGCAAGATCACGCACCCAAAGCTAGCCTGTTTCTGCAAAGCATATCGATCCATCGCCCAGCCGTCGACTCCGTGCCTCGGGTGTTTTATTCTCCGCACAGCTGTGGAGGGGTCAATGTAATAGACGACCCTTGTAATGAGAGGGCTTGGGTTGTGTCGTTCACCAAAGGCCTCTCCCAAGACCAGGCCAGGGAAAGTGCTTGGTACTTGATTGGGAAATGGACATGAGGGATTCTAGGGAAGCTAAAATCTAAAGGCTACAGAAAAGTATATGAGCGATTGTACTATAAAGGAGACTGTAGGAAGCATTCCAGGAGAAGGGTAAAGAAAAGCCTCACGTCAGATGGAGGGGCAGGTGACAGCAGGAAAGATGGCCTCAGTGTTCACAAAGGGATCTGGTGGTTCCTGGGCTGGCATGGGCTTGTGTTTATGCTCCCCTCACCTCTCTGCAGAAGTCTGTCTGTCTCTCACTATCTCTCTCACCTTATTTGTGCATGTGTCTCATTTTATTTGTGTTATGTGTATGCAGTATGTCACTACGTCGCATACATGTGCATCTGTGTGTGAATGGCACTCTGTGTGTGTCGTCAGAGGTTCAAGGACAATCTTGGGTGTTGGTCCTTGCCTTTCCTTCTTGTTCAAGCCAGGGTCTCCTTGTTGCTTTTCTGCTGTGTGCACTAGGCTACCATTGACTCTACCACAGGCTTCCAGGGATTCATCTGTCCCCCCTGCCCCCCCCTCAGGAATGCTGGGATTAAGGACACTTTTGCTACACATCTCATTTGTATATCGGTTTTGGGGACTCAAACAGGTCCTCATGCTTGTATGGGAAGTGTTTTACACACCAAGTCATCTCCCCAGTTCCCCATTTCTAGGCTTTTATGGTTAATGGGGTATCAGTGGGAAGGAGGAGGGTGAATAGTGAAACAATAGGAAAACAGACCATAATCAGTATGCCCAGATGGATGTTCAGGGAGCCTCCTTCACTTCTTCACTGGAATGCCTGGGGTAGATTGACTAGGAGGCCCAGTGCTTGCTCACTTTAGTGCCCACACCAGCTTCTCTGGCTAGAGATTGTTGCCCTGATCTAAAATACACTGTGGTCCAATCACAAGCTGGGGCAGCTCCAGGATTTGTCCCTAGGTCTCCTGGCCCCAAGTCCTTTCCCTCCATCTAAGAAGGAAAGGTACTATGGAACCATAATTCAGCTGTTGAGTTGGAGGTACAGTACAAAGGCAAGGGAGACTCAGAGGTTCATTTTCCGTTTGGCGGGAGCCTGGGATGGTCCTTGGGACTTGGCTATCATCTGATGTTCCCCTGAGCTGCTGCCACCGAGTGTGCAGGGCTGCCGGATTCAGGCCGAATGCCACACTGGAAGTTCAGGCTTCTAGATGGTACGAGATCAAAGGTTATGGATCTCAGGAATGTCTGGGGTGCTTTAGGGAGAGGCTCATTTGATAGGCTGGAGTGTGGGAAGAGTTTTCCACAGAGTGTTATGGTTAGTTAGATCTTTTAGAATGGGATCACTAGTGGCAGTGGAACCTTGGCCATTCCAAAGCCTATGGTGAAACCAAAGTGTTACAGCTCTTCAGTTATGCTGCTGTGCTAAGGATAGCAGAGGCTCAAAACAAGACAGCAGGTCCAGTGAGACAAAGGTTAACAGCTCACTGCTTAGGCAGTGCTGCATGCCGGTGAATGGCAGAAGCTTGCTGCCACCGGCAGCATATGGCTGACCAATTGGCAGTCAAGCCCAGGTAGTCCAGAAGCTCTTGGCAGGCAGGCTCCAGCCAGCCTTTCGAGTAGCCAGGTCCTAGAAGTTCAGCAGCGAATCTCCAGGGAGGAGGGAAGCCCTTCCTTCCCCAGAATGAATGACAGATCTCAAGGGGGCCATGGTGGAAAGCTGCTGGTATCACGCCGCACCCAGCACTTTTATTTGGAATCAGGGATTTGTAAACCTTAGGCGGTAGGAGGAGTTTCAAGGGTGAATGTGTTTGATTCGATGGGGCTAGGGGGTGCTAGGGATACTTGATTTGCATGTCATAGTACAGTTCCTCATTGATGTGCAGTAGCTTGGTGTCCTAAGAAGGAGAAGATAGTACTTGATTCTATGAGTGAGGGCAGAACTGAGCCAAGACACCAAGGCGTCCTATTGGCATAAGTTGGGTATCTCTAGGAATCCCCAGGTGGCTGCATATCAGGAAAGGGTCTGTCCTGTAATCTTCCCTGAGAGCTATGTGAAGCTCCTTACAAAATCTGGGGTTACAAGATCAGGTGGAGAGAAAACCTGGCTAAGAAAAGGGAGTCCGCCATCCTGGACCAAGCGTGAGGCTATCCAGAAATACGAAACCTCAGCATCATCCAGCAGAATCCCACACGGAGGGACCTTGACTGGTAGAGACAAGAGCTTGGTCTCAGGGATAGCCTGGGACAGTAGCAGCCATATGCTAGACAGAAGAGAACAAAGGTGAGGAGACCTGTGTGAAAATTGTTGCAGGGGCATAGGTCTGTCTTTCATTCTTGTGAGCAAATCCTTGACAAGAAGCAACTGAAGGGAGAAAGGGCCTGTGTTGGCTCACAGTTTGGGATACGACTCCCCATGACGAGGTGGGCGTGGAAGCAGAGGTTTGTTGGGTTGAGGCAATGGCACTTGATCAGCTCCAGGTATACCAGAAAGCAGAGAAAGGAGACTGCTTGTGCTTACCTGGCTGTCTTGGTTAGGGGTTCTGTTGCTATGGTAAAACACCATGACCAAAAGCAGCTTAGGGAGGAAAGGGTTTAATTCATCTCACAGCTTAGTAGTCCATCACCTAGGAAAATCATGTCAGGAACTCGAGGCCGTGGAGAGGTGCTGCTTACTGGCTTGTACCTGATGGCTTGCTCTGCTTTCTTTTTTTTTTTTTAATTTTTAAAAATTTATTCTCTCATATATTACATCCCGACAGCAGTTTCCCTTCCTTCCACTCCCCCCAGTCTCTCTTCTCCACTTTTCATCTCTTCCAGTTTCACCCCTTCTGTTTCCCATCAGAAAAGAGCAGGCCTCCCAAGGATACCAACCAATATGGCCTAACAAGTTCCAATAAGACGAGGCTCATACAAGACAGGCGTAGTGGTACATGCCTGTAATCCCAGCACTCTGGGAGACAAAGGCAGGCAGATCTTTATGAATTCAAGGCCAGCCTAGTCTACAAAGTGAGTCCAGGATAGCCAAGGCTATACAAAGAAACCCAGTCTCAAAAAAAAAAAAAAAAGCAATCAAACAAAAAACTCAAAAGGCTAGGCATGTACCATCATATCAAGGCTGGACAAGGCAACTCGGGAGGAGGAAAAGGGTTCCAAAAGCAGGCAAAAGAGCCAAAGACACCTGCCACTCCCACAAGAACACCAAGATGTACAACCATAGCATATGCAGAGGACCTGAATCTGACCCATACAGGCTTCCTGAAGGTTGCTTCAGTCTCTATGAGTCCCTGTGAACCCTGCTGAGTTGATTCTGTGAGCCATGTTCTTGTGGTGTCCTCGACCCCTCTGGCTTCTGCAATCCTTTCTTTCCTTCTTCCCTGGTGCTCCCTGAGCTCTGCCTAATGTTTCAGCCTGCCTCCTTATAGGACCCAGGGCCACCAGCCCAGGGTTGTACTGCCCGCAATGACCTGGCCAGGCCCTCCTACCTCAATTACCATCATCAATCAGGACAGGCTTGTCTGCAGGGTCCTTCTTTCAGAATGACCCTAGCACATACCAAGGTCACATCAAACTAGCCCACACATTAGCTTTCTCCACCACTACCCGACTCAGTCTGAGACCCCAGCATCCTGGCACCCAGGTGCAGGGATGAATCTAAATCCATTCACGCTGACAATATAAAGTAGCCACATCATTAGGGATATGAGTTTACCAAAGATTCAGCAGGGATGGCAGGGAGAAGGGCCAGCAGGAGAGGCATCCTCCTGAGGATTCCAAAGAACCCTGAGCTGGGGACAGAGAACAAGTACTGTGATGAAGTCACCATCTTCCAAGAGCAGGTGTGGACAGACCCTCCCAGTACCGCTGGAGGTAAAGTGACAGATGAGCCATTCTGTAGAGTCTAAAAGTGAAGACCCACCTCAGTGCTGCCATACTGCCATCTCTGGGGGGCCCGGGAAGAGCTTGGCATCTCTTGGTCCCATAGCCTGTCATTCTACTTACTGCTCAGCTCACCAGCCCCAGGCACCAATACTTGGCTAGAGCAGAGCCTGGGCCACAAACAGAACTGAACAGAAGGTCTGGAAAACTTTGGCTAGAATTGGAACCAGAATCTCAGTTTGTTGAGGAGGAGCACTTTCCCAAAACTTCCTTCCGTGGACAGCACAGCGCAGAGAGGCTCCTTCCTTCCTATGTCCCTTGTTCTTCGCTGACCAGCCGCTCATAGCATCCGCCTGTCACAGAGTCACTGAGGACTCCTTCCTAGCAGGCCAGCTAGGGGTGGGTATACTCAGTAGGCAGCGCTGGGTGGGCACTGAGTTTCACTGGCTCATGGTGCCCCTTCTCTGCTCACTCCCCTGCAGCCTCAAGCCCCTCTCCAGAGGTGCAGGATACCAGGAGGCCGAGCAACAGAAACCCTGCTACCTGGACTGTGGAGGATGTGGTCCGGTTTGTGAAAGATGCTGATCCTCAGGCCCTGGGGCCTCACGTGGAGCTCTTCAGAAAGCACGTATGGACATAATGGGCTGAAGGGAGGGCCAGGAAATGGGATGTGTGGGAGGAGAGAAGGAGTTCAGGACCCCCTGACGCTGGTGATGTAAACTAAGCTCTGGCTGTGCTCTTGAGTGGCCAGAGATGAGACACAGAGGCAACGATAGGCCTGTCATAGCAGAGTAGCCACCAGTTTTGTGGTTTAAGGGATATTTTTTCTCTTGGGCCTTGCTTGCTTTTCTGTTTTTCACCTACCCATATCTATCCATCCATCCATTCATTCATCCGTTATCCATCTGTCTGTCTATTCATTCATCTACCTATCCACCTGTCCACCCACTCACTGGCTGGACCATCCATCCATCTGTCCATCCATCCATCCACCCGGACATCCATCCATCTGTTCATCCACCCACCCACCCACCCCCTCACCCATGTGCATTCAACAGTCACTTATAGCACCTCTGCAATTTGCCAGGCAAACTGTGATCCAGTGTTCTTTCTGCTTAGAGCAGTGGCAGTGGTTTCTCAACCTTCCTAAATGCTATGACTCTTTAAACACAGTTCCTCGTGTGTGGTGACCCCAAACTATAAAATAATGTTTGTTGCTACTTCATAACTAACTTTGCTACTGTTATGAAACAATGTAAGTATCTGTGTTTTCTGATGGTCGTAGGTGACCCCTGTGAAAGAATCCTTTGACCCTCCCAAAAGGGGCCATGACCCATAAGTTGAGAACCCAGAGGCTTACAGGGTTAAATGAGAAAATACACATAAATAAGTTACACGAAGCCTCACTTATACAGATAGCCTTCATATAAATGTTATAATCCTGTAGGCACTTCTGAAACATATAAAGATGATAAGTGGGGAGAAAGAGTCACTGTGTTAATTCTGGATTGCTGGTATAAGAAGTTGCTGCAAATCTAGGCCCTTAAGACCATGGACATTGCTTATTTTTATTTCTGTGGGTCTGGAGCCTAGCAAGGGTCTCGGTGGGCTAAGATCCAGGTGTGGGATGAATTCTTGTCTAGGTATTCTAGGGGCAACTTGCCATCCTGCCTTCCCCAGCTTCATGATCCTTTTTAAAGCCAGTCGTAACAATCCAGGTCTCCCTCAGGCTAACCTGTCTGTGGCTCTCTCTTTAGTTGGATGATGGATGTCATACATGGGATAGCAAGAATGTAGGTGAAGCTTTGTCTGATTCAGTCTGAAGAGGGCAGGAATCTGAAAGGTGCAAGGTAGCAAATGACTTCAGGAAGGGGACAGGAAGAGGAGGACGTCATAGTAATTTGCTTCCATTGTTCTCAAGCACTCTCCCAGAACCGCTACCACACCCTCTCTAATGTCCTCACCTGTCCCAAAAGTACCCTTGAGCACACCTTGACCCTGACCCTCATTCAGCTGCTCTGACTGTCCCTTGGGCTTCCTTTCCCGCCAGGAGATCGATGGCAATGCTTTGCTGTTGCTGAGGAGCGACATGATCATGAAGTACCTGGGACTGAAGCTGGGGCCGGCGCTGAAACTCTGCTACCACATCGAGAAGCTGAAGCAAGCTAAATTCTAAAGGAGCGAAACCCAAGATCTCAAGGTTACCTCCTGCCTGCCCAGCAGCCGGCCCACGTCAACAGCAGAGCATCCTCTTAAACCTCGCAGCCACAAAGACCTTGTCCTTTTATAAACTATGTACATCCTTGCCTTTTCTAACATTCCAAACGGCCCCTTTCAAAGGCTGAACTGTGTCACAGATTTGTCTGAAAAAGAAAAAAAAAATCACAAAAAGCCGGTTACATTTAATGTTCCTCACATGTTCACTCTTTATGGGTGGTGTTTGTGTTGTGACAGAATGGGTAACTGAATGCTGTGCCCCACGGAGAACTCTGGAGGGGGCTCTCAAAACCACAAGGAAGACCCTGCCCCTGCAGGTGCTGTGGGGATGCCCATGGCAGCCTCTCCCTGTTCTGGGGACCAGTCAGCATGGGCCTCACTGGGCTGAGCTCTGGGAGTCGTCTCCTGCTGACTTCCTTGCCTTGCACTATCTGGAAAACTTGAAGTAATTGTTTGCTCTGGAAAAGAAAGGGGAAAGGACGGTTCCTAGTCCTAGCTTCTGAAGTCCTTCATCGCTCCACCAGAGGGCAGACTGCTAAAGAGAATTCAGGATGCCTTGACTGCATGGCTGGGTTAGGGTTTTTATAAGCAAGATCTAGGCTGCACAGGGATGGGGGATTCAGTCAGCACCCCAGATTGCCACTTGGGAAGAAAGCGTGATCTGTAGGGGTCCACCTCATATCCATTACTGACTGACTAGGTAAGAATTCAGAAGCAACCGTCTGTCTAAACGAAGATTCCCTTTGTCCCTTCCCTTCTAGAGTCTTACTGAGGCTCTGATAATGCTGGCACACTGAAGAACCTTAGTAACATTTAGTTATAGTTACTTCTTGAAAAAAAAAAGGGGGGGGGGAGGAAGGAAGGAAGGAAATTGTCTCAACAAAGTTTGAAAACGGGAACTGCTAATTTCTAGTTACATGGCTGCATTCTGTAGCTGTGTCTGTGGCTAATTCTCCCAGTCTTCAACAAGTATGCAGACGTGTTTTTATTGGGTTTAATTCAATTTACAAATAGGTTTTCACTCTTCACTGTGAATTAATAGGAAAAAATTGATTTTCTACCCTTTGTAGCTGTGTCCAGAGTAGGGGGGACGGAGCCAAGGTTTACTAGGCAGAAGGGTGATCTCTTTGCTGCTATTCTTTGTCAAATCTCTTCTTATCCTCCCTCTCCACCTGCTCTTTGTCTATTCCCACTGAGTAGAGAACTCACGCAGCACAGCCTTTTCCTTAAAGGTGCACCTGGGGAGCGTGAGGGTCAAGGGTAACCCGGAGTCTCCTGTGCCATGGTGTGGATTTAAAAAGGCATCTTTCCTCTGCCTGAGCAAGGTCTCAGCTGGCAAGTGAAGATGGAGGGGTTTTGGACCCCTCTCAGCCAGACATCCTAATCCTGAACAAGATGGATGTAGCCTCTGGAATGGATCTACCTACTATACGGATTAATTAGAATTTAGGTGAGGACCACAGGAAGCATTCCATGCTGAGATACGGGGCCCACTTTTATGTCCCCTATTTGAGGAAGTGTGACAGGACACTGAGAGATTGTCCACAGTGGGTGGACTTGCAGTGTGGACAGAGAAGGAGAAAAAAAATGTCCCAAAGCTTCCCACTGAATGGAACTTGATCAGCTTGCAGAAGAGCTGGATGTCTGTTTATTTTTAGCATGAGACAAAAATGACCTTGAACTCGACCTTGGAGGGAATCTTTAAGATGTTAAGGCAATGAACAGACTCTGCCATGCAGAAGATTGTCAGTGTTGAGCATTCCTCGCTGCTGCTCTGAAGTTCGATCCTGTCTCAAAACGTGTCAGACATTTCACACGTACGGAATTGTTGAAGTGAAAGCAATGAGATCTGGGAAAATCGCTTCACTGAAGTGTTTGCCCTGTCCCTGTAGACGCACGGTGCCTCCTCCAGGGACACAGTGACTCTTTAGTGATTGGCAATGTTAAGCTTTCCAAATGTCCTGCGTAACCTTTCCAGTGCCTCACTAGTGCCCCAAGTTAAAATAAGCCCAAACGAGTCAGGAGAGGCCTCAAGTCATTGTTGAAGGCGAGCTAGGACCTGGTTCAAGTCTATAGGGGAACTGGGACTATATCCCCCATACAGAGACTCAGTCAGGTGCTGTCTTATTTCACACGAAGCCTTAAGTTTGTTGGATTGCAGGACCCCAGACTTTTAAGGTTTGGCAAAACAAAACACCAAGAAGCAATTTCATCATTCTTGGAATGAAGACTGCCGCACCACGGAAGGAGCAATGGAAACTAATTCTTCTTCCTTGCCTGTTTCTGCGTGGAATGTAATTAACTGACCAAATCATTGTAGCAATACTGCAATTATAATTAATTTTCATCCCTCTCAAAAATCTTGTCAAACAGGGCAGTTAAATTGCTTCTCAAATGTAAAACACGCCAGGCCATTTCCTCTAAACAGACCTTAAAGAGTCAGGCCATTGGGGTTACTCTGGCCCAAATGAGAAGGACTTGAACTCACACTTGACAGCTAACATGCGTGCTATTCCATCTGCATAGCTTTGCTTCAGGTTGCAGTGAATAATGACCAAAATTTGCATAATTCCAAATGAAAGAGTGTGTGCGCTCATGTTACAAACATTTCCAATTACATTTGTCTCTTGGACAAAAATCAAGAGACAGTTCTGTTGCCTCGAGCATTTTGAACGTTTTGTGAAACACATTATTCCCTTTGTGAAGATTTTAGATTAAAAGATGTGGCCCGGGTAGATGTGTGTGTTTCTATGTATCTCTAGACACGGGAGTTGGAAACAAATCTAAGAAGTGGTTGCGAGTGTATCTGCTATTGCATGTGCTTAAACAAATACCTTTCCAGCTTCGTAGTGTGGAAGGCACAGCCCCGTCTAATCATACTGGCTGTCACTAGGAGGTGTTCTTTCTTATTCTAGCAGGGCCTGCCCTGTGGACAGCCAAATGACCAGAATAGTTTTCTGGACCTGTTCCTCTGAAGTAGCTGACTCGACATGCCAAACCTGAGGACCTGGATGCTTGAGAAAAGGCCATACAACGGAGAACAGCTGCCTGAGGGCCTCAGTCATGTCTGCCAGGAAGGACAGAGGCCTGTTATTTCTCTTCTACAGGGCTGCCTTTAAAAAGAAAGGAAGGAAGGAAGGAAGGAAGGAAGAAAGAAAGAAAAAAAATAAAGGAGCAGAGAATGCTTCAGAAAACTGCGTTCAGAATTAATACCTTGGGAAGTGATACTGGGCTGAAAGTTTGAGAAGCAAGCCAGAACATTCAAAAGCATACCTTTCTTAGGAAAACAATAGAAGAGCAATTGTGCTAACAGCCCCATCCATGACACAGCCAGAACCTAATGATGTCACAGAATTCTTCTTTAAATTAAAATGGTTTAATTTTTTTTTAATTTATATTCTTTTAGGAGGGTTTTGTTGAATCCCCGAAGAAAACTGGAAATGCCCAATGTTCTATTTGAACGTAGTCATCATCAAAAAGTCTTGAAGGACATTCTGATCTCTCCCTGAGAATTTGAGGCGTTCCGATGCACAAGCTGTGGGCTGTGCACTCCAAGGTTTACCTTTCCCACTTCACCATGTGGGGCCAGGCTCGGATCGTTGTTCAAACCACAGATAAAGAGTTGTGAGGGGAGCAGGGTTGCTTTTCTCTTTCTCTCTCTCTCTCTCTCTCTCTCTCTCTCTCTCTCTCACTGAGACAGAGTTTCTTAGCCCTGACTGTCCTGGACCTCCATTTGTAGATCAGGCTGGCCTTGAACTCACAGAGATCCACTTGCCTCTGCCTCCCCAGTGCTGGGATTAAAGCTATGTGCCACCACTGCCCAGCCAGGTTGTTTTTCTGTTAATTGAACATTTTGTTAAGAAGAGGGGTGCCAAAAATCCAACTCTGCCTTTTTTTTTTCTTTCTTTCTTTCTTTTTTTTTTTTTTACATAAACACACTAAGAGCCGAGCCCTTGCCTTGCTTTCTTATGTTGCCATGTGCTTTTACTCTTCGTTCCATGAGAGGACCAGACTGAGAACCCCTGAGGAGAATCCAGCAGATGGTCAGATATCCACAGGCACAAACATTCCTGCTTCCATATTGCCAAGTGAGCAACAGCTGCCCAGGAGCCCCACCCCCGGTCCTGCAGAGCTGAGGATGCTGGAGCCTCAGCCCCCTCCCTGTCTTTTCCTCCAAGGCTTAGCCTCATCCCACATGATTCCTTCACGGACAATTGGAAGCTGGGTTTGTTTTTTTTTTTTTCCTTTTTTTTTTTAAATCTAGTATTTACTTGAAAGAGGATCACTCTTATTTATTGCCACCAGTTAAAGATTATGGCAACATGTCTGCTAACAATTTGCTTTGTGTAATTTTGTTCTAACGCTAATAAGCAACAGCTGGGACACTTCCTGCGGTAACTTCCTCTGTGGTTACAGCGTAGTCATCACACAAGACTGCACTGAGCACTGAGCTTAAGAGCACTCAGTCTGGCCTGGAGACACTGTGCTGGGCAGCCAGCTACGCGGTTTCCCAAGCTGTGCCCTGATCGACGTGCTAAACTTCCTAAGCCCCGAGATCTGGGGCTTCTTGGCACGCTTGGCAGGAGGTAGAGAAGGTAGAGGTTAAGGAAGACACCGTTTCCCAAGCCAGCTGCCGGGAGGACCAGGAGTTGATACTGTGACATGGATGAGGAGACAGGAAGACGACACACATCAGAGTGGCTTGACAATGGCCGAATCTTGATACTCGATACTGTGGGGACAGCAGCATCTTTCCACCTAGACAGATCCACGAGCCACTCAGACTCGCTCTGTCACCTGCCCGACCACGTGGCCTGAGCCTTATGGCTCAGTGCCTGATGCTGATGGAAGAACATATCTCCCACCAGGCCCCGCTCTGGGACACGCCCACAAGTCGCTTCTTCACAAGTCGCTTCTTCAAGCAGCTCATTGTGAAATGAGCCTCTCCATGTATCACTTTCCAGCAGTCCTGTACTCTCAAAGGCTACTCGCATCAGAAATGAAGCAGCCTCGAATCTCGCGATGGCTCTGCCTCCTCACCCAGCGCTGGCCTGCCCTTCCGGTCCTGAGATGTGGCTCTGCTTGGCCTCTTCCCATTACAGGGAGTTCCCTCCCTGAGGAGCTGGCTTATCGCTCCAGCTCTGGTGAAAAGAAAGTTACTTCTCGGGGAGACACAGACGTCTGTGAATCAGATATGAATGTTTGAGGTGACGCCAGCTCTGAAATCTTCGTCTTCTTAATAGAGTTTATCTCTGCATTAGTCAAATCTACAACACAGACGCTGGCCAGCTGATCACAACAACAGGCTCTCTTTCTTTGCAGTAGAAGAGTGGACACCATCTAAAAGTTGTACCCAGACGCTGATAGGTTTCTACTGCTATGATAAACAGCATATGACCAAAAGCAACTTGGGAAAGAAAGGGATTTTGTTTTGTTTTGTTTTTGTTTTTCATCTTACAGTTCTCTAACACAGTTCTTTATCAAAGGAAGTCAGGGCAGGAACTCAAACAGGGCAGGAACCTGGATAAAGCCCTGAAGAAGTACTGCTTTTTGACTTGCTCTTCCTGGCTTGCTTAGCCTGCTTTCTCATACACCTACAAGACCATCTGCCCAAGGATGGAACCACCCACAATGGAATGGACCTTCCTAGATCAACCACGAAGAAAATGTACTACAGATTTGCCTTCAGGCTAGCTTTTTGTTTGTTGTTGGTTTTTGAGTTTGTTTTGTTTTGTTTTTCGTTTTTGAGACGAGATCTCACAATGGAGCCCTGTCTTCTGAAAGCATTTTCTCAACTGAGAGTTCCTCCCAAATGACTCTAGCTTGTGTCGAGTTGACGTAAAATTAGTGCGGTGGTTGGAATAAAAATGCCCCTCATAGGCTTATCCTTGAATTCTTGGCCACCAGGGAGTGGCACTGTTGGAAAGAATTAGGAGGTGTGGCTTTGGTGTGCGTGTGGCACTGTAGAAGGAATTTTGTCACTGGGGGGTGGGCTTTGGGGTTTCAAAAGCCCAAGCCAGTTCAGGTGGCTCTCTCTCTCTCTCTCTCTCTCTCTCTCTCCCTGCTGTCTGCATATCTAGACACAGAACTCTCAGCAGCGTGTCTGCCTGAACGCTATGTCTTCCCTGCCATGATGACAACGGGCTAACCCTCTGGAACTGCAAGCCCGCCCTATTTAAATACTTTGCTTTATTAAAGTTGTTGTGGTCGCATCTCTTCACAGCAATAGAACAGTGACGAAGGCAACTAGCAAGGGCACCACACATGTCATAGTCTTCAAGTTCATCAGGCCTGTCATGAAAAGAGTAGTGAAAAAAAAAATATTGTAGTCTCACCAAAAAGGCTGTGTTCGCCTAAGCATGTACAGTTTACATGTTTAGGTGAATCAACGGAGGCGGTCTCCTGCTACGCTAGCTATGAAAAAGACATTCAAAGATGTCAAAGGCCTGTATCTGTGATCCAAGGAACTAAGGGCACTTTATTTTGATGAAAGACAAACAAACAAATCTATAATTTATACTAGGAAAAGAAACAGTCTGCCATAGGTTTTTGAAAGCACAGTGCAGTTTAAGAACCCACACAAGTTAAACCTTGTGCTCCTGTGGGCCTACGGGAGGGAGCGTGCCTTTGAGAGTGAATGCAATGAAAGTGCAGAAGGCTAGAGCAGGGATGACACAGGGGGATGGCATTGCTTTCTGAAGCGCTCCTTTTAATGGTTTATTTAGAAATCAAACCCCAAATGCACTTAGTGGGTAGTGTATCCAGTTTGCTTAGGTAAGAGTCTAGATGATGCAATGTTCTGTGAGAATGTTCAGAACCTGAGACTTGGATGTGGCCAACACCCAGCCTGTGGCATGGTGCATATGACCAGCAAGGCATTTTGTTTAAGTGTTTGACCCATTTTCTCCCAAATAGGACTAGACTTTGCTTTTAAATTTTAACACAGAGAAAGAAACAGAAACCATTTGTTGGGAAAGGAGAAGCACTCCTGAGAACATGGGTGGGCTGGTAAAGCATGCCTTGCTCTGTTCACTAAGCCTATATTGTTCTCTAAGCCGCCATGTCCATCTCTACTGGAAGCAGAAGTACCACTGAGACAGGCTCGAACAAGGGTTGGAAGCCTTCACTTGTTCTAAGGCTCAGCCTATTCTGCCTTACGGCCTTACATTCTGATTGGACTTGTGGGCAAGAATTTCAGAGCAACGGCTGATTGTTTTCAGGATCATTGTGTTGTTGCCTTTATTGTTGTTGTTGTTGTTGTTGTTGTTATTATTATTATTATTATTATTATTATTATTATTATTACTAGAGACAGGCTCTTCCTGGGTAGCCCAGGCTGGCCTTGAGCTCACAGTCTGACCTCTGCCCCATCCTGCCTGCTTTCCTCCAGGTGCTGAGATAATAGGAATCTGTCACCTTGGCCAGCCACAGCTTTACTTGGAAAACACCTTTTCCTTTTTCCTTCTCGACCCATGATACCTCTTCAAAATGAAAGCAGATTTCCTTCGGCTAGGTTGAGTTCTCCATTGGACAGACTTTTCTCTGGGAGAGGCAGGTGCCTCTGTCCAGGAACTCTTTGCTCTTCCCACAAACCGTCCTTGTTCCCTTGCATTGATAGAGAATCCCCAGTACACAGGAAGTAGGTAGAAGAAAAACTCCACCTCTCCTTTTCTTCACACCTCTCCTTCCTTAATAAGAGATTCAAGATAATAAGGACGCCCCTGACCTCCCTA